TCTCTTTGTTCAGTTGTTTTTATACCAATCTTCCTTTTTCACAAAAAAAACTTGCCTTTGCTTATTTGGATTAATAATCTGCTCTGAACGACTTCATCCTTTCAAAACAAATCGCCTCATCCTCGCATCGCACATGAAAGTATAGCAGCTTCTTCATTAACTTATATCAACATTCACTTTGGCAGAGGTGATCCTGAGTCAAGGCCGTCCATACCGAGTCTGGCAGATCTAAATTGCACCGATGACTGTGAGGTGAGCGAAAATGTTTATTTACGTTCATTTTGGTACCTGCTATGCAATGTGTATGTTACCCGGATGCGAAGTGCACCGATGTTGATATATGGAAGATACATTCAATGTTTATATATATATGCAAGATGTACTTACATCCATGTGCACACACACACACACACTATAGATAGATAGATAGATAGATAGATAGATAGATAGATAGATAGATAGATAGATAGATAGATAGATAGATATAGATAGACAGATAGATAGATAGACATCAATACACTATACGGGGTGTTTGTTACTACTACAACAGGTACTGTTATTACCATTGCTACTATAATTACTATATTATTATCATCACAACTATTGTAGTTAAAAACAACCCTAATTGACTCTCATCAATCACTCTGGCAAACGTGCATTAAAATGAAGTTTAAAGAGACGTTTAAAGTTCTAAACTATATCTAGAAACACCTGATCACAAACAGAGAATCGTATCCACTTCTATTCAAATCTCGTATTTATCTGTATAATAAGGTATTTGGACCTACCGAGTTTTTCGCCAACTAGTTCATAAAAGAGGAATATAAATAGGAACTACTATTGTAGTTATTATCATACTATTATTATCTTATTAAATGCACTGACTAATATTCGTTTCAGCTGACTCCAGGGCACGAGTGTGTGGTTGTCTCTGGCCAAGGGACTTATCGGTTCCAGAACTGTAGCGATGGACTCACCAAGTACAGTTGCATGTACCCAGGTGGGTTGAAAGAGTGAGAGGGAGGGAGGGAAAAGAGAGGGAAAGAGGGAGGGAAAAGGGAGGGAAGAGGGAAAAAGGGAGGGAAGAGGGAGGGAAAAGGGAGGGAAAGAGGGAGGCAGGGTGGGAGGTTGAGAGAGAGAGAGAGAGAGAGAGAGAGAGAGAGAGAGAGAGAGAGAGAGAGAGAGAGAGAGAGAGAGAGAGAGAGAGAGAGAGAGAGAGAGAGAGAGAGAGAGAGAGAGAGAGAGAGAGAGAGAGAGAGAGAGAGAGAGAGAGAGAGAGAGAGAGAGAGAGAGAGAGAGAGAGAGAGAGAGAGAGAGAGAGAGAGGGAGGGAGAGAGAGAGAGAGAGAGAGAGAGAGAGAGAGAGAGAGAGAGAGAGAGAGAGAGAGAGAGAGAGAGAGAGGAGAGAGAGAGAGAGAGGAGAGAGAGAGAGAGAGAGAGAGAGAGAGAGAGAGAGAGAGAGAGAGAGAGAGAGAGAGAGAGAGAGAGAGAGAGAGAGAGAGAGAGAAAGAGACAGACAGACAGACAGACAGACAGAGAGAGAGCGAGAGAGAGAGAGAGAGAGAGAGCGAGAGCGAGAGCGAGAGAGAGAGAGAGAGAGAGAGACAGAGACAGAGAGACAGAGAGAGAGACAGAGAGAGACAGAGAGAATGAGAGAGAGAGAGAGAGAGAGAGAGAGAGAGAGAGAGAGAGAGAGAGAGAGAGAGAGAGAGAGAGAGAGAGAGAGAGAGAGAGACAGAGACAGAGACAGAGACAGAGACAGAGACAGAGACAGAGAGACAGAGACAGAGACAGAGACAGAGACAGGGACAGAGCGAGAGCGAGAGAGAGAATGAGAATGAGACAGTCAATCGGACGGACAGACAGAGACAACAGAAACAGAGAGAGATAACAGCAGCGCCTCTCCTTTCCAGCATACTGCCCCGTAGGATACACACTACACCTTGGCCTGTGCTATAAGGTCATCCCCGCAGCAAGTACTTTCCACGACAGTTACGAAAGCTGCATGAAAGAAGGGTCCGACCTTGCTGTCCCGGAGAACGTGAACGACTTACAGTTTTTGACTGATCTTGTCATGGTAAGACGACCTTCCTTCACAATACCCTTAGGCATAGCACCTTTGCGGAGGTGTGTGAACGATTATTCATTCATAAACATAAACATGACTGTAATATGTTAAAAGATATTGGGAAATTATTCATAGCAACTTTGTATACTTTGTGCACGATTATACATTCATAAACATTGACATACTTTAGGTGTAATAAGTTTAAAAACCTTATAAATGTATAGTATACATAGCACCTTTGTATAGTTATGTACACGATTATACAAGCATGAATATAAACACAGATGTAAGACGATGAAAGACCTTAAAGGTGTTCAGTAATATGCATAGATGCTTTATATATCTGAATACCTATAACTGAATATAAATATCTTTATAGTCTATAACCATAGATGTTTATTAAGGCTTTACTATTAAGGATGTCGATAGCTTC